TTCATTAAACCACAATACTGATAAGTGATTAATAAAAGTCAAAAGACCAAAGAGGTCATCTTAATACCAAAAAAAAAGAAGATACAATATACAAGTATTAAAGATTAATTAGACAAAAATGTCTGAAGACTAAAGAAAAAAAAAATAGATCATATATAGATCAAAACACAATCAGCAATTAGGTAAAGTAATTAAGAAGAAAAAGAAAAAAATATTAGCAAAGCATTGGTCAATGCACATAGAAGAAGAGAAAACAGTAACAGAATTAAGTATATGCAAAGATTATAAAAGCAGTTCAGAACAGATAACAGACAAGTGTAAAAGATAAATAAAATAAGTTTATAACATAAGAGTGATACAGCAGCAGGGAGGGCAAGCAGACTTTTATGTGTAAAAAAAAATACTACTGGATTGTCCTTATGGGCCTTATGGGGTTCACTATCATATATAAAAAATATATTATTTTTTGCTACTCTACTTGGCTTTAGAATTAGATTAGAAGCTCTATAATCATGGTGTAAATTTTTATATATCAAAAATCTACTCTAATGCCTTCTATTTATTAAGTTTACTAATTTGTTTTCTTGCCTACCTGAAGTCTTATTAATCTCAAGGAAAGTAATTTCTTTTCTTGCCTATCTAAAGCCTTGTTAAGCTTAAGAATATAGGTTTGTTCAATACTCTACTCGACTTTAAAATTGGGTTAGAAGGCTTATATTGTGGTGTATTTTTTTTATATCTAGAATGTTTTCTAACTCCCTCTTACTCATTAAGATTGTTAATTTGAATCCTTACCTACCTGAAGTCTTCTTAACCTTAAGGAAAGTAATATATTTTCTTATCTATTTAAAGTTTTGTTAATCTTAAAAATGTAAATTTATCTTCTTACATATCCAAAGCATTGTTAATCTTAAAAACATTATTTCGTTAGCAAGAAACAGATAAAAAAAGAAAGCAGGCAGACTGGGTATATAAAAAAATTATATCTGCAGAACACCTTGACATGCCATTGGGGTCACTATCAGAGCACCTTGGTGGATTATTGTGAAAAGACATTAGCTCTATTCCAAAGCCTATTAATATATTAGGTTACATAGCAACACTAGCATGTTTTTTGCAAAGGCTGGGTTCAGAGCTAGTCAGCTTGCTACAACCTTGGAGAAGATGCTTGAACTTGCTCTCCTACTTCTTCAGCTCTGTTCGCTAACAGCTCTAAAAGCAATTCATCGATTTTCATTCGAATAAAAGCATCTTACCTCTAGGTGTAAAAAAAAATCAGATAGCATGATATAAAAAAAAAATGGCTAGCAAGATGTAAATAAAAAATTATCAGCCAAAATAATCTAGCTTTACTAATCTCCAAAAAGGTCAATACCCATATTCTCACTATCCGAATCAATCAGAGCTTTAGAAATATTACCAAAGGTAATGATTCTGGATTGAAAGATTGTAACCTCATTACCAGGCTTGAAAATCGGAGCTTCATCTCCAGTATCTTCTGATTCTTTGCTTATGATTGGAGCAATAGTGCTAGTCACCTGTAGTGCTTCGATCTGTAGACCCTGCTCTCCTGCTTCTTTAGTTTTGTTCGCTGACAGCTCTAGAAGTAATTCATCAATTTTCATCTGGATTAAATCATCGGCATTAGCTTTATTCTGAAGCCTATTAAAATATTGGGTCACATAATAGGTACCAGAATGCTTTCTACAAAGGCCAGGTTCAGAGCTAATCAGCTTATTGCAAACCTTACAAGGAATGCGAGGTTTAGCTTTTCAATGTTCAAAGCAACCTTCTGGCCGACGGCAGGTTCGCCCACAAACCCATCCAGTTCTAAGTAAATAGTTGCAAAAATATTCGCCTCACATAGTAATAAGAAATAAATATTTTATTTTAAACTAAAGTTTTCGCTATATTAATACAAATAATATTAAAACTTATACAAAATGGTTAACTACAAAAATATCGAAACAGCTTTAGTTGAAGTGATTAAAGTAGCATATAGTCAAGATACCAAAAAATATGATAAATTAGGAGCATCATATGTAAACTATCTTAAAACTTTACAGCAAAAAAGAGATCCAGAAGATCATATTAGATATGTAGCAAAGCAACGCACTCCAAATGAGGAAACCTATAATGAAAGAATGGCAGATTTTAAAGATTGGTACAATGAAGAGATATATACTAGTTTAGAAAAGTTATATAAATTATATTTAGAAATAGCCAATCAAGAAGAAAAAGTAGAAAAGCGAACAAAATTACAAGTAGATGAAATTCTTCAAAAAATACATGGTTTGGAAATTTAAAAATTAATATATATTAAAGTTACCAACTTCACTATTAATCTCATAATACCCATTTGGGTGGATATTCGATCTTATCAACTTTCATTAATTGTTCACGAACAAATGATCTTTCAGGTCCATTGCCATTTTCATCTGTAATTCAGTACAATACTGATTGATTTTTTTGTATTAAGGATTCTTTAATATGATAAACTTTCGGAGACCAATTACAATCAGTCGCACGATGTCTTCCACCTTCTAACTCACCTGGTTCAAGTAAGTATCTTACCAAAATATTATAAGATAATCAAGGTTCATCAAATCCAACA